CGCTGTGAGAGCGGACCACGCGACGTAAGGGCAACGACGTCGTCCATGCGGGGAGGATTCTTCGAAGCGGAATTCCTTAAATGGAACAACCCCGCCCCGCAGGCGGCGTGTGTCCCCCTGCCCCCCCCCTCTCTGCCTCTATGGTTCAGTCGGGTATCACGAGTACACCCGCACCCTTACAGCATATGAGATACCACCACACTCCGGGGACCCCCTACTGACCTCACCACCATCTTCACCATCGTCTCGTCGACAACGAGGAGCAGAGTAAGACACGAAATGAGTGTTGTTCCGCGGGCCGCGGTGGCGACACCTGAGACCCCTGACGAGACGCCGCGTGCCCCGCCTCCCTCCTCCTGCCGCCCCCAGTGCCGCCGCCGCCGCCGCCGCCACCACAGCCCTGCGGGTCGGTGTGTATAAATGGAAAACGTGATCCCTCCGCACGGGAGATGATGGAGATCTCGCGAGAGTGGGCGCGCGGGGGCCTGCGCGACAGTGATCCTCCGGTAAACAGCTGGGGCGGCGGCAGCAGCGAGGTCGCGGTGGTGGTTATCCGCAAGGATCACGAATAAAAAGTGGGGCAGCGATTCGAGAGTAAATAATTGGAGGCGGCCGCGTGACAAAGCGGGAGCGTGGAGAGCAGCAGCGTGGGGGAGAGCGGGGATTAGCAGCGCGGCCCCCGCCTGACTGTGGCCGCCGCAGGCTCGTGGCGCCGGGGCGACTGCAAGCAGCTGCAGCGTGTGTCGACAACCTCGACGACAACCTCATTAGCTCGAGCAATTTCCCCGGCTCCGCCCTCGGCAGTCAATCCCACTGCGGAGCTGATTGGGGCGGAGGTGGAGGAGGAGGTGGAGGCGGAGGTGGCGGGGCGGGGCGCCCGGGAGGCGGGCAGCGCCTCGAGGGTCTCGCACACGAGCGGAGCGGGCGGCCTACGCTCCCGGCCGCAGGGGCTCCACACCACGCACACTCACCGGGAACTCGTCGTAGCTGCTGCCGTAGTCCGTCGAGTCCTGGCTGCCGAGGTCCTGGTGCGCCACCAGGTTGGCGACGGCCCCGCCGCCGCCGCCGCGGCCGACGTCCACGGCCCGCTTGCCGATGAGCGGCAGGTCGTCGTCGTCCTGGCCGAGGTAGGGGAGCGCGAGCGCGGGCCGGCCGAAGCCCATGCCGCCCATGCCGAGGCCCAGGCCGAGCCCGTCGGCGGCGTGGCCCTTGAGCAGGCCCATGTCGTGCTGGGCGGGCCTCGTGGCGGCGGGCGGCACCAGCAGCGCGGCCAGCGCGGCGAGCGTCGCCAGCGTCGCGGCGACCGAGCTCAGCGTCATGGCAATGGCGTTGTCACCCGGGCGCGCGGGCACCGGCAGCTTTATGTCCTGCGC